ATGCATATTCATTTTTGTATAAACAAGGATAAATATAAAGATATGCATGTAAACTGATGCAATAAAATCTTATTAGACAGCTTAAAAGTTTTAAAATGCTTGCCAGAAACAACATAACAAAAATTAGGAACACAATAGAAAAACTAAATATAGAAACCTAGCTAAGTATAGTACTCAAAACAGAAAGGATTCTATAAAATTACTGTATGATTAAGGTAGCAAAAAATCTAAGGTATTCACACTCTATTTTCAAAACTAAAAACATTCCATGAAGAAAAGAGAATTACAGAAATCTGGATTCTATTACCAAGAAATTCTCTATTTCGCCCTGTTTCATTTATAAGTTGATATAATCTGATGTAAAATGGAAGAAATGGAAAATATTTGCAAAAAATGTGGTTAGAGAATATAGCAATCAGAAAATTGTTAACACTATTGGTGTTAATTCTCTAAATAATCTAACATATAGCAACAATTACACTGTCAAATGGAAACATTTCCCAAGCCCAGCTGTTCACAAGTCTTAAGCCCATTGTCCTCATGGGTCAGTGGGGAGTGAAGTGAACAAGTGTTTATGAGTTCCAATTAGGAAGTACGGTAATATCTACACTGGTCATTTTATTTCAAATGAAATTTTAAACCACTTATGATTTCTCCTCACAAAAATAAAGGCAACCTTTAGATTGAACACCACAAAATTCTGGATTAATGAAATCTATAGTGATGAGGTTTAAAATTACCTTTAAAGTATCAATAAAATATATTTAAAGAATTAAACACAATATAAAATTACCTTTAAAGTTATGATTTCATGTCCCACAAAAGAAACATCAGACTACTACTTTTCAACTGTGTACACATACACCACCCAATTTATGGCAAATAGAAGCTGCCTTGAAGGACTTGAAGCTTTCAATACAAATATAGATATGTCAGCTGAGCTCCCTGTCCTAAAACTAAAATAACTTAAAAAAATCATTACCCAGAATCATTCTAGAAATGTTGAGCTTTTCCTAGAATCTGACCAATGTTGAACAGATTCAAAACTAGAAACTGAGATCACTCACCTATAAAATTTATTTTAGTTTTCAAGTCCAGGGGTAAATGCTATGTTTCTAAGTTTACGTTTGACAATGGAAATGTCAGTAACATTTATTAGCATCCTAAATAATAAAAGGCTAATATGCAAATCGACTGAATGGTGGAACGAACGGTCACTATGATGCACAATGACCACCAGTGGGCAGACGCTCAATGCAGGAGCTGCCCCCTTGTGATCAGTGCACTCCCACAAGGGGAGCGCAAATCAGCTAAAAGCCGGGCTCATGGCTGGCGAGTGCAGCAGTGGTGGCGGGAGCCTCCCCTGCCTCTGCAGCAGTTGGACATACCCTGAGGGCTCCCCGACTGCAAGAGAGTGCAGGCCAGGCTGAGGGACTGCCCCCCTTTCCCCCCCGCCCCCCCGCAAATGCACGAATTTCATGCACCGGGCCTCTAGTACTAGATTAAATGATCCGAGTTACTAGGTCTGGACCTCTGAGTAACTGGCTGGTTCTGCCTCTCGCAGTAAGATTGGCAGTAACTTAGAAGTTTCTCTCTATAGAACTTCTAAATAGTGCTTGTTAATATGATGTCCAGACCACGTATATTTTTAATTTTCAGGTGAAAAGTTCAATTTCAGAGAGTCTAGTTGGAATTTGATGATATTATACCAAGTCCAAGTAGAAATCTGTTTTCTCATAATTACTAGAAGTGCTGATTCATACTTATATGAATCTGCCTGCTACTTAATGGGACAATGGGAAAACTTTTCCTTTCAATGGTAGATACAATCTTTCAAAATGAGGTTCACAGGTGAAAATTTTAAAAATAGCAGTTAGTATAAAATACTGGAAACTACTGTTTGTAGATCATTAAAAATAAGAGGATAAAATCATAAAAGTTATAAAAAATATAAATCCAGTCAAGCTTCAACCCCTACATTTTCTACAAAGTCTTGAATAATGTGACCTACTCACCGTGCACTCACTTCACCCCAGATGTTCTGGCTTCTGTTCTGCTTCCTCCAGAACTCCTTCCCACTACGAGTCCTTTATACCTGCTGTTCTCTCCCCTAGGATGTTCTTAATTCCTTGTCTGTCTGGAACTTTCAATTAATCCTTCAGTTCTCAGCTTAAAAGCGACTTCCTCAGGAGAGCTTTGCTCTTTATCAATTTTCCACTCCCCACTCTGCTCTGGCCTCTTATCTGTTGACTGTATCCTTCATTGTACTTACTGGACTTAACTGTACATTGTTTCATTAACTACAATTAAGTAACCTTGTGTTTGATATCTTTTTTCCAACTCTATACAGAAAACCTATGAAAGTATGATTGTATCTGTATTATTTGCTGCTATTTCCTCAATGTCAAGCATATACCAGGAAATAAGACATTAAAAGAAATATAATTTTGCAATGTGCTCTTGCACAAAGTAATGTAAATTAATCTATGTCACACAAAATCAGGATTCTATCACACATTTGTGAGAGTTTAACAATTGAAGAAGCTGTTGAAGCAAGATTTTTCACAATCTTCATTCCCAAATGCTCTCAATCTTTAACTAGGTTGCTAAGCTGGGGACATGGAGTGATGTTCCTTGAAAATATTCATGGAATTCAGTGTGGCAGCTAAGTTTCCTGGATGGAAATAAAATGAGGCTCTCAACCAAAGCCAACCAGCCTTCAAATGAATGAGTCATGAGAAGTTATGACTAAAAGGCCACCCAAGAAGAGTATGTAATAAGAAATTCAACCTATGTTCATTTGAATTTTGACAATTCACTCAACTTCAACTAAAACAAATGCTTGATGAATGGGACAAAGATATGTTTGTATGTTTTTTTAAGGTAAAAACTCAGGAGAAACCTCTGAGATGAGGATTTCCCAAGATGATTATCAATTTTGAAAGTATGATTATAAAAACTTCCAGATTTTGAGGACCAATTTTTAAAAAACTTTGGAAGTTATAAAATAAAGTCATAGCTATTTGGAATTTGTCAATTCTTAAGAAACTTTAATGCAGGACACCTATGGATCAAGAAGCTCTATAATTTAAATATCTGATGTAAGAACATTTTTTTAAAAGAGAAAATACTTATTTTCCAAAACCTTCAATTCAATAAATAACAAAGAGAGAAGGGGAACATATGAAGCAAAATAAATAATTAAACCTGATATTAAGACCAAGGAACTTAAGAATAAGAAGCAAACTGCTTACTTTCTATCCTCTCCTATCAGCCCAAGATTCTTAGGAAGTAAAGCTGAAAAGATGGAAATCTATCTCATCTCTTTCTCTTTTACCTTACTGTTTTGATGATTAGGAGTGGGGGAACATGAGTATGTGTGTACAGTGGTGAAAGGGGCAAAACTAACATTTGTTTGTGCCTACTATGCTGTGTGCCTACAGACACTACACATGTATTAGACTTAGTAGTCTAATGATTTGTGCACCAGTGGGGTCCCTCAGCCTGGCCTGTGAGATCCAGCTGAAGCTGGTTCTCCGACATTCCCCGATTGCAAGAGGGCGCAGGCCAGGCAGAGGGACTCCACCAGTGCACGATCAGGGCTGAGGAGGGACGCGGGAGGTTGGCCAGCAGGGAGGGACCATGGGAGGGCTCCAGGGCATGCCTGGTCTGTGTTGCTCAGTCCCAATCGGCCGGACCCCAGCAGCAAGCTAACCTACCAGTCAGCGTCTGCCCTTTGATGGTCAGTGCACATCATAGTGCCTGGACAATCAGTCGACTATCTGCCCCCCTGATGGTCAGTGCACGTCATAGCGAGCGGTTGAGCAACCTTAGCATATCATTAGCATATTACGTTTTGATTGGTTGAATGGATGACGGGACAACTAGACACAGCATATTAGGCTTTTATTATATAGGATTATATAGGATTCCTCACAACTAATCTACTTGCAGATGAAGTTAAACTGACCGGCTAGAGGTCACCTGGTTTTCATTCCAGAACTACCTAAGTGCCCCTTCTAAACACTACATTGCCTTAGTTTTCCTGGTTGTGTAAAAAATTTTAATTGCTCATTAGCATAATTTTCCAGTTTTCTTCTTTCCATTATTCCATTCAATGATGTTCTTTCTCACATGAGATTAGCCTTTACACCCTGATCCATCGCTTAGAAGCTAAGGGAAACAGACTCCTCCTAGTGCCTAACATTCTCACAACTGGGAGGTTTTTGACAATTTCCTTATTTATACAATTTAAAAACCCAATTTTTGATTTTTAATGAACTTAGAAAAACTGTTTAATATTTAAATTATTTAAATGATTATTTTAATATATCCTTGTACCAGCAACATATCTTAACTTTTCTCACCACAGTACTCTAATAGCACAGGGGAATAAATACATGCCAAGCAGTCAAAACACATGAGAGATTTCATTCAAGTCTTGCATTTTATCTTAGTGATTCATAAATTATACATTTTATTCCACTTAATAGCCTTTATTTTAGCCACCCTCCCCCCTTTAGATTCTAAACATTAACAATCTGGAGAATATCGCATGTTTATTTTACAGTGTCTCAGATAGCACTTGTGGTACTCCTGGTGGTATGAGATTCTATTCTCTGAGAAAAATGATAAAATGGTCTTTAGCACAGTACTATGAAATGGTAAAATGTGGATAATAAAGCTTTATAGCAATATACTACATTTCAATAATTGACAGATTTTTAAAGTAATTACTGTGTTCCAATATTATAAAAGTGAAAAATCAGTTTTTCTGCTACTAAGGAAAGGAAAGTATATGGGCTTTATATAAAAGTTAATACATTTTAAATTACTGGACCCTAATACTGAATCTTACTTGTCAAATTTATGTAAGTGTTCTCAACTGTTCAGTCCTTCTACCCTATCCCAAGCTTATGGAACAGGTACTTAAAGAAAAATTTCATTTTTGTTTTTAGGAAATATAAAATGCAGGAGCCATGGTATAAAGTGAAAATTACCTTGTTTTTCTATAACTGAGTATGAAGCCAAAAATCCTCGTCCAGAAACATGGATTCCACTCATGAACAGCACTGTAATTTCATTGCTTTTTGATTCAATTGAATGGTTCATCTGCAATCCCAGACCACAGTATTTGCCTAGGAATGAAGAAAAGCAGATCTTTGTTGTGACTCTTATGAAGTCAATAATATTTACCATGTAGATAATAGAATCAGAATAATATACCAAAGTCTGCATGTTAAATAGTGTAAAATGATAAGTAGGATGTTTAGTGACTAAAAATCCCACTACTCTGGATGGAAGAAGAAAAAAGTCAAGTAATAACTTCAAATGATGCAAAAGAAAAAAACAGTACAAGCATTACTGACCTTTAGAAGAGTTAATTTCCTATGAAATAAATGTGTATACTCTTTAAAAGAATAACCAGGAATTTTTAAACAATGAAAGCATTGCAGGCAGGCAGGTGGCCCACAAGTAAATTGACAGTCAATCAGTAACCCCACAGGTGCCCCAAGATTCCTGGCCTCAGGACACCACCTCTCAAACCTTTTATGAACCTTCTCAATTTTTCTGCCAAGGCCTGTTGAACTTCTGGTCAACCCCTTTAGGTGATCATTCATATTAAAATAAAAAAACTCAATTCAGTCTATAACTTTTCAATTTATTTAGCATTTAATAAGTTAATACAAAACATCAAGGTAAACATGCACTTTTCTTGGATGCTATCGTTTTCAATATAAAATATGTCTTGCTCATCTGTAGAAAAAAAACACAAAAAAAACACCACCTTCTATTTCTAAATATGGAATGTAATTTTAGCTATCAATATTTTTAACATTTAAGCAAAATAACACATTATCGAATAACACTACAAGTTATATAAATATATAAGATGATAAAATCTTCAGACTTGTTTTTTAATACCAAGTAACTCAGAAATAGTCTAGCAAAGAGGACAAATATTAAATATTGTATTGCTTTTGAATGTAAAATATTTAAAAGTAGAGTAATATATATTTCACATTATTCTAAATATCTCAAAGCTATATAATTTGTTAGCAAACCCAACTATGTATGTGCAGAACCAGTGCCCATCACATTAAATCTTAAAGCCCAATGGGAATAGTTAAGGCAAGAGAAATTATGGTCACTAGTATCTTTACACAAGATTAATTTTTGTAAAAGTGAACAACAGTTTGATCTGGGCCCATCAGTACTAGCTGTTCTTTGCCATGTAAGGATATATGTAGGTGTGATTTTATTACAAGCCTGATTAAGATGCTCAGTATAAATACTGACTTTTCAGATCCTTTCAGGTACAAAGAGAAAATATCCTTTTTAGAGAATACCTAACATGCCATACAATGATGTCTTCATAAAAAGTATATTATTGAAGTGAAACAATGTGCAAATAAATAGTTTTAACCCTTTTTATATGGACAGAACCCCCAAAATATTTTTATTAGCATGGAAGTTTCATCTTTTGTTTATTTGTTTTTTTATCTGGACTTATCTTGTCCTCTAAAGTGTGAGTAAATTTAATCTGTGGTAGAAACAAAACATTTTTTAAAAATCACTTACGTTTTATGGAACTCAAAAGGCAATGCTGAAGAATGGATACCCACAATTTAAAAAACAGAAAAAAGAAAAGTACAATAGCTGACCTTATAAGTGCTTAAATGAGTTCAAATATACAAGAAAAACACCTGCCTTCACCTGCTATTCCCAGCCAAGATGACCCTCCTTCTCCTCACTTGGCTCTCCTTTGACCACCAGCTTTACCCGCTGTACAAGTAATGCAAAGAACTTGGCAAAGCACTCTGGGAAAGGAAGAAGAAAAACCATTCCTAAACTGGACAACATAGCTGTTAATTCTTTAATGCCATTTCCCTAGTTTGGCCATTCAAAGGTACTCCTAAATCAAAATAAAACATTTAATTGCCAACAATTATAAGTTCTGCTGATGGCTCTTAAAGTCACAGAAATCGCTATAATTTCTCATCCTATCTAATAAAAGAGAAACATGGTAATTGGCGTACGACCACTACCCTTCCCATTGGCTAATCAACGAGATATGCAAATTAACTGACAGCCAAGATGGCGGCCGGCAGCCAGGCAGCTTGAAACTAACATGAGGCTTGCTTGCTTCAGTGACGGAGGACTCCAACGTTCCCCGCCTGCGGCTGCAGGCCTCTGAGCCTGCAGTTT